AAGATGGACAATATCTAATAACCTGTCTATGCAATAGTGCAGGGCTGCAGACATAAGCTCTAAGCTCTCTACAACTGGTTAGTCAGGAAAGTTTAATTCTAAGGTTTGACAAATGGACATCACAGTAATGACCGGTTGCTTCACTGAGCCTGCCAGCAAAAATTATGAGTTTGTCCATAAAATCAAGCATATCTGTAGAGAACGCCTCCCCCGGATATGGTGGAGGGGGAGCCACACCTGAGGGATCCAAGGAAGAATTTGCAGAGTGTGTGGATTCAAGTAAGGGAAAGGTCACTGAGCGTGGACACTACAGGCCGCACAGGAGCCGTTAGTGGATCATGAGTTGGAGATGTCTGATTCAGTGTGACTGCTACCCTGGCGCTTGGGATCTGACATGTTGCTAGAATGAGGCAACTTATTTAATGACACCAAAAAGAAAACTTTGGGCACTAACAGAACCAGAAACTGAGAGCAGAAAAGATGTAGGTGACAGCAAGGACTAACTGAGGCAAAAAACTTGTTTCTTGCATTAGGAGCAATGGCGGGGAGCAACTACCTCATGCTAAAAAGGCGTGGTAACCCCTTCCGCAGAAACCAATGGAATAGGGCATAATGATGGTGGCACTTAACAGTACCGGTAACGTAATAGTTCCCAATGTTCAGACACATTAAAAAGGAGTTCTTAGAGACTTATTGCCCTGGAGAGCGCTCTCTGGCTAACTAACATGGAACACAAGGGCCCCAAGCAGACCCCAAGCCCAAAGCTCACATTCCAGGGTAACTTCGGCCGGTCCGTGGGCATACTCACAAAGTGTGTCTTCCCAGACTGGATCACACAAGAAGCTGTGCGAGATTTCAGAACCTAGAGAGCACTCTGCGGCTAACTAACACAGTACCCAAGGGTCTGGAAAGTGCCACATGTAGAAGACATTGCCCGAAGTTCAGACAGGCACTGCAGTCTTCATTGCAGCAGGGTCCAGGTACAGCCACCAGGGCAATAGCCGAGGATACACTAAGCATGATAACTACACATGCAGATGCAGATGAAGTCTAGCGGGGCATCATTCAGCCCAAAATCTTGAGGACATACTATGAATACAGGGTTTCATGGGCCCACCCCCTGAAGGGGCTTCACCACGGCATCTTTCATTCATAGTGTATGCATCTTCAAGGATATCCCACTGGAGAAGATCAGGAGGGGAAGAGCAACTGGCATGTCCCATGACTAAAAGACTTTAAAAAAAAGCTAAGTGTATTGTATTTTAAAAAGCCTATCATACACAGTAGGGGAGCCATCGGTTAAAGGGGGAGGGTGTTACCTGTGGGGGCCTACAGAGTCTGGAGTTGGGCTTTTACGCAAAGCTCCAATTCCTTTGATTAAAAAAAAACAATCCCTTTTAGCTCAACTATTTAAATTGAATGAATATCAGTAATTTTATATCACATCTATACCTGCGTCTGTTCTGCAGATAATGAGGTAAACTAGGTCAGTACACTGAGTGCTGAGCGGTAGAGTCCATTGTCACCTGATTAGTCAAAGTGTCTCTACAAGCAGTATTGTACCCCAGGGGAAGCCATGGGACGCACAGCTGTCTTCACTACGGTTCCAAAAATCAAACTCCTGGTGTAGTAAAACGAAAGTCAATGTCAGGGACGCCAAATGTGACACAAAGAACTTCCTGTAACGCCTTCCGGATGGAGATTGATCAAGTGAAGGTCAATAGGAATCCAAAAACTGTGCATCACTTGAAGCATTCATTGCTGGTCAAACCTAAATGCCTGTATTGGTCAGCTCCCCAGATAGTCACTAGGACCTCCACAAAGCATTGATGGGTGCCTTGAGTGACTTCTTACCAGGCTGATTGTGTGTGTGTGTGGTGTGGCATTTAGAAAGTCCATATTTGGAACATTGAGTTTAGGGAGCAATGTAGGGGGTCAGCCTAGTGCACAATAGCTATACTGTGGCACCTTATGACGCATGCTGGCTAACTTAGGTTATTGTGTATGGCTTCACTACAGTTATTTGGCGTACAAGTCTATCGACCTCCGAACTCAGACCTCTCGATAGCACAAAAGAGCTTAAAAACAAGTTCACAATTCATTTACATATTTAACTTTTTATTTATTGTTTTAAAAAGTATACACCCAAAAAATAAGTTAGGCTTAGTCACCTTTAGATAATATGTTGTAACCTCCTGTCTGCAGTGTGTATGTGTGTGTTGTGCATCCTTCTCATACCGATCGGCGAAGTACAAGAAGGATAGGAATTCTGACTGGCTGCAGATCTCACCAAAGGGACTCGGGCGTAGGCGGACAGAGTCACCGGACGCTATCACGGTTTAGGAAACACATCGAGGGCCACACATCTGGTGCTAGGAAACTGCCAATTGCTGGACAGGTATTGAGGTGTTTTTGAGATATAAATACTAATCTACAAACAGGCAGCAAACCATATTCAGAAGTTTATAGGATGTATCGATGTTAAAAACTTGTAAACCTTTATATAAATATATTTCTTTATTAAAACACCAGCAATGTCATTCAAACTCCCACCTAGAAAGAAACTAGGGACCTTTACAATAAACCGTTGACCCAGATTGTAGTTTTTTCACGCTATGTATAGCCTTCCAGCCGCTGAATTTCAGCAGGAACTAATTAGCCTTCATTTACTCTGACCTAGCAAACCCAATTGTTTCCCGTCGACTTCCGTCCAATGGAAATAGTACAAATTTGCCAGATCAGACATTAGGACCCATACAAGCTGGATCTAATGGTGGCAACATCCCTAGATTCACCTTCTCGGGGTTACAAATATTCCCAAAGTTGCTAAGCAATGCCAAGAAGATTGTGAAGGACCGTTTGGTGATGGCTCACATGGAGGCTGTCCAAAGTATTGGGCAATCTCTTGACTCTCAGCTGGTTAGCCTCTATAGAGTCCTCTCGTGTTATACTTTTCAGCATTCAGCACCACTCAGCAAGCAAGGGAAATATTTCTTGTTGGGTTGGTTTCCAAAAAGACTGACATAGCCTTAAAAAAAACATGGCTGGCAGGTAGCTAGGGAAGTCCTACGGCCAGAAGGTGCAAAATATGACCCAAACCTTTCCTAAAAGTGTAGCAGATGTTCAAAAATAAAAAGAATCTATCACTACTGTTTTGCTAGTAGAATTTTGATAAACCCTAGAAGCCCTTTAACAAAAATATCCAAAAAATGTTTATAGTTCCTCTTTAAAGGGCCAACTCACCCCAAAACTTAGCTTAGTATTGGAAGGGCATCATTGGATTAAATCACACAGAATTCTAAAATCTCCTGGGTCCTCTGAAGACAAATGTTCTCTGCTGCAGTTGTGTCTTCACCACTCACAAGGCCATAATTGAGGGGGTCACGTTCTCACATGTGGCTTGCCCAGGTATTTGTTGAGTGTAGCTTGGCACCATGGGTGTCAGTGGAAAGTCTGGTCGAGATAACTTACTATTGGACTTCCCAAACAATATTAAACATCAGCATGAGATTCAGCTTGTCAGCAACATCAGTTTTGAATCTGGAGTTGGCCCTTAAAGTGAACATGTCCCACAAAGTATGCAAACAATATGTCCTGGTAAAGCGCAGGCAGTAGCTGTGTTTATCTTCTGATCAAGTCCTGAGTGTCTGTGGAGGGAAACAAATTCAAGGCCAAGGCTTTGGACTGTTCAATTTTGGACTGTTCAAGTCTTGGACTGTTCAATCAAGTGCTAAGTTCCCTCCTGCCATGTAACTTGACCAATGTCAGAACTTCATGGGTCAGTATAGGCTCTGGTATAGGACTCTCCAATGGCAGGGGCAAAGCTTAGCACTGATCTGACACTCTTTATCCATGGACAATCCATGTCCTCAAAAAGCACACAGGAAATATTTGAAGATAAACACAGGTACAAGAAGACATCAAACATGGCCTGCACTTAAAGCACAACTAAACCTTCAATTCATATCAGCTAAATACATTCCAGGTGCATCAAAAGGTTACCTTGCAGTTTTTTTATTTCTTTAGAAAGCAAGTAGAAAAGCCTTTCCTCTGCCAGCATGCTGCCGAGAAGGACCCTTGCTCTTTGTATGGAAGCAGCGGTCCCTCTGCAGAGGTTTGACACACCCTCTCCAATCAGAGGGGAGCATAAGCATTGCTGATTGCAAAGCTATAGGTCTGACACAGTAGGGGGCGCATCTGACCTCTGCCTAGAGACCACTGCTTCCCTACAAAGAGCAAACATCCTTTTCAGCAGCATGCTGGCAGGGGACAGGCTTTCCCTACTAAGGTTGTGTCTGCTTTTTAAAGAAAACCAACTGTAAGACTTCTGTTCACATGCACTTGGAATGTATCTGGCTGACTGAAGTGAAACTACAAGTGGACTTTACCAGTATTGTTAGTCTACGCACTATGTAGAATTTCACGGGATAAAGTAAGAACTGCAAATTCACCGTTCCTTGGCTGCAATGCAAACTTTCTAGCCAGGAGTCCTGCGGCCCCTCAAGTCCCTGTGATGAGATGTGACAGGAAATTCCGATGACTGTAGAGACTCCGAGAGTGAAATATTTCGCGGACAATGGATGTCAGCACCTGTTGTCTCTTCCTTAAATATATAAATATATGTCATAATAAATAACAAATATTAGTTGCTTTCTGAGCTCTCGATTCACAGAACGACTCTGAATTCTCTTGTTTTTTTTTTTTCATTAAACTTTTTTTTTGTTTTTTATATTTACACAGAATTTCAAAAAGAACCAAATACAAT